TATTCAGTTAATCACTGAATCAAATAACAACTGACCTGTTAAACAAAACACCACAAAATAGAAAAGATGTCACCAAGACATCACACAGTGACCCCTGAGAGAATGATCAGTGTTGTCACTTTATGGCATTTTCTTTCATTATGTAATAATTTAGTTGGTAAAACTTATATATTAATGTGACCGTGACACAACAATGCCTTTCAAACGAGTTATCTGCATCCCCACCATGTCGCATAATGTAATGTAATGCACCTCAACAGATCAACAACAATCCACAAAAAAAAGCAGCAATAGGAAGAAGCCTTAAAAAATAAAAGCCTCAGAGAGCATGCTACAGTAGAGCAACTCTATAAAACTGAATCCACTATGGTTACTTGAGTGTTTTGAAAAACATATTTACAGTTTACTTCACTTTTTGCCTCTTTTTTCCCATCGATGCTCTGACGACCAGATTGGCTTGTCTTTTTGAGTCAGCGTCCAGCGGACATCTGATCCAAATCTCAGATCAGTGCATCGATAACATTTTAGATCTCCCATTTCCTTGTGTTCTACATTACCTCTGATGCATAGTAGGGATGGGCAGATCAATACTAAGGATATGAAGCCTTGTTCTGAGTATCAGTAACCAACCTCAGTAGGGTCTATGGCAAAAATGGATCCATCCATCACATATCAGATCAAACGTAGATAAAAATCAAGTTTTAGTTCCGTGTTATTTATGTTTACTGCAGTTCTGAGCATTTGCAAGGTTTTCACCTATTTAGCTTCAAGAATTTACTGTCTTGAACCTTTTAATAATCGATCTGAACAATACAAAACAAAAACACTGATAATTTTTTACATGGTACGGTACATTTCCTTTTCAAAAAAAGAAACTTCATATTTCCATCAGTTGAACTGATCCTGTTTTCTTTATATTTTTATTTATTGTATTTTTGTCTCTTGATCCATCCCATACACACATCCTGCCTTTTAATAGTGTTTGCTGCACACGTTTATAGTTCTTCGATTCAGCCAAGCTTTTATTTTGTAAATCTTTGGCGGAAGTCATCCCTTTACAATCTTCCTAAGCTGACGCTGCTCGCGTATCCCTGTTGTTTCTACTAATAAGGGATCAATATGGTGATGGCACGGTGCAGGCCGCTGGTGTCACCAGTGCAGATGATCCCGAGCAGTCGCAGTTTATTACCGAACATCGCGCCCTTCACTCCGGAGCCCAAGGCCCCCCCGAAGCCGCGGATAGATGATCGAACATGGATGATGTGTTAGACCGTTACCACGCTGCCTTTGTGCTGCTGCGATTAAAATAAATCTTTGTTTATCACGTCAGAAGGCAAACGGGCACATCCATCCACTGAAACTGTCATTTAACCGTAAAAACAAGGCGTCTTCTAACACGACACAGCGGTTTGAGGGTGACCATCGTCTGAAAGCCGAGCCTCCGTCCCTCCCGATCTGATCGAGCTAGGCATCATTTTTCTGCCTCCGACGCGATGCTGCTGAGCGGAGCCCTTTTCCCTCCGCACCTCTAACCAAATCGCTCACAAAAGAAAACATCAAAAATCACAATTTAATGCACTAACCTCGTCTCCGGGGTCGGCGGTGGTGTTGTTCTCGGTGAAACGCATGTGCAGCTGTGGAGGAGCGAGGCTTGTTTTCTCACCGACAGACTGCGGAGCGGACAGCGTCAGCGGCGCTGCATCGCATGATGGGCTGGGCTGGAGCGGCACGTCAGCCTGAAGTCACAGCCTGGTCCCAGACTGGATTATCTAACCCTGGGTGGGACAGCTGCCGCTCATTAATAGCCCCGTGACCTCAACCAGCGAAGCTATACTGACTTAATGAATGCACAGTTCACAATCGCATGAATATTGTACGAAGAAAACACAATGTATACTTTATTTGCCCCAAAGTTGGGAAAGTCCTTTATGACAACGGCTAAAATCCAAGTTAAACACAACATACAACAAACTTCTCCAGTGGTATATAATTCAGTAAGATACACTGTAACCATTTTGACAATATTACAAAAACAAAAGAGTTAAATTAAAATGCAAAAATAAATAATGTATACATTTTTAAAATGACTAATAAAATGATATAATTTACAAAAACTATAAATGAAAGAAAAATGGAACAGTAATATAAATAGCACAGTATAACAGATTATAAAGTGGGATTAAAATGACCTGGTGCACACACAGTGTTTAATAAAAA